AGATGAGAAGAGATTGTTGTTTTGTCTCACTGTGTTGTTTTGTAATACTTCACCAAGATATTGTGCACCTTTATCTCCGATTTCATTACGAGAGAGGTCGAGTGTGGTGAGTATCTGTATGAAAGAAGATAGATGAATACGGACACTCGGAAGAATTTTCGAACAGAACCGTAGTATTTGGCGGAATTTTTGTCCGCCGCGATTCTACCCTAGAAAATTGCGGTATGATCTAGAGGTTGGGTGTGGGTGTATTATGGATACAATATCGAAAACTACACTCATACTCACAGCCTCGTTCATAATCATTTCTATCTTGTTTGTCTAATTGAAGTGAACAACGATGCCTGTCGATTTTAAAATCTAAGAACGTGTTATTTCATACGGTTTCTTTGAATGAAACTATTCAACTATTTAAAAGAGAATGAAGTTCAAGAATTTCACGTTCATATCTATGAATCATATGTGTATTTTGAGGAACTCGTCGAAATTTTTGAAAGAAACAATAGTGGATGTAAGGTTTAAGGCGAGGTTTTTCGGCTCCCCTCCCATTCCCCCTTACATAATTCAGCAACGTAAACTAAAGGAGTTTGGCTACATTTGCATAGTAATAACAGCTATAAATACATTATTATTTTGGTAAGGTCAGGTTTCTGTCCGCTTTCATTTCTATCATGACAACCGGAATGCGGATGTGAGGGCTACTATATGGTGAGTTATAAGTTTCCATAGTAAGAATAGGGGATCATAGCTTGTTGATATGTGTTTTACAGTGAAAGTGATGGTCAGAGCTCAAGTAATACACGTCCACAATGATCGAGAAAGAGAAGAGATATCAACAGGAAAACGTTGCTAGTAGCACGAAAGAGTGTTTCAGTAATAATAGCTGACTGGATTCTAAAAATGTCTAAAACCTTCCAAAGCATTCAACGAAATTCAGATTTCTATCATAGATTACAACTGGTTTGAATAGTGTGGATTTCATAATGCTTAATGTATCGAAATTATCCTTTTGCAGACATCAGTCAGTATAACGATAACATCACTGTTGTATTAAAGACAAAATAGGAACAATGCGAATCATATGAACTATTCAATATCACTGTTTCTGTAATTATCCATATGCACATAAGCATCTTGAGAGCTGTCGTGAATTAAATGGATATATATATAAACGACCTAACAGCCACTGCAATCAAAGATACGAAAAATAATAATAATAAATTAAAAGAACGAAAATAGATGACAAGCGAATAGCAACAAAGACCTAAGAAAGATAGTGCTAGTCAAAACAAGTAAGCGAAAAATTTATTTATCTGAAATACAGAAATAAATAAGGCAAGCGGTTTACTGACAACTTATTACTAATTGAAGAGCAATCATCAGCGGTTAGAATTTTTTGGCTTAAACCATTTTTAACATGAGAATCATGTCTTAGAGGAGGATATATGAGTTCCAAATGTTTATCTGAGAAGACTGAACCCATTTTGATGATTTCCTAACTAAACTGAATAAGTCTAGAAATGAGTTTGATTTAACAATCGAATCGTATCAAATTTTATATCAGTCATTCTAGCAAAATCCAATTAATGAAATCAATCAAGAACGTAGCGCTTTGATTACGATCACTTTTCCGGTAATTGACCTAATTCATTATCGCAATATGGAACATGGAAAATAACGTTGATTTTGATTTGATGAGTTTCCGAATTGCGACCGTTTTTATTCATTACTTATTGTAGTATTAGATTCTATTTATGATGTAAATATAGTGATGTATGAGTTTAACTCATGCTATGTTTTGAAAGATGAACAATAACTTTTCCTGATCAACAACTGAAAGAGGTGGCAAAGCCATCTTAAATAATATGGACTAAAATGTGCGAATCAGAGTGGTACGTTAATCTATGTCTGTACTTTCAAATCTTGAGCTCAAGTCATCACTCCAAAAAAAATGATACAACTGTTAAACTAAATGATTTCAACCATAACTCTTGGTTACTTCATAATTAAAAAGTCCGGGCAATTTGGAAACGCTACGAAAATAAGACGAACATTATTTTCTACGTTCGAAATTGCCCTACTACTTCTCTCCTAATTTGCTTAATTTGCGGTAACGATCCGGATATAACCGAATTTCTCATATCTTTTCTTTGTCATTTCATTTCTCAAGTTCCTAAATTCGAATAAAAGTTATTGATCAAAAGAACAAATATTCTCAAAGAATAGTTAAGAAGAATGTCATACAAGCAGATATTTGTGTTTATCAGACAACACATAACACTTATTTTAACAATATTATTTCACATTTCCTATGAACCATAATACTAATTTTCCTCTTCTTTTCAACAACAAACAAATACAACACAACTGACCTTATTATTTTGCAGTAGGTAATAAGCCACAATTTCCATATCATCATCCGTTAAATTCTTAGATCTCAGGCTTACATATGACGAATTCTTGTTGTTATTGATTATTTCTTCAAGTTCTGTGTTTTTGTATGTCGGTGGTTTTGATAACAAAATTATTGTCGCAGGTTCTAAAAAATCGACACAAAAGTAGAAGTAATTACTAAAAATATATGAATAAAAAGAATATCTTTTGGTGCTGTTTTTAAGTTAAAATTTTTGACAAAATCTGTTTAATATTATTTGCAAAATAATTTAGTTTTAACATTTCAAATAGACACAAGTAACACTCATCTTTCGATTCGCTGACCCTTTTCTGAGATAAGCAATACTAGTTTGGTCAGAAAACTGTTTAGCCAGATCATTTAGTGTTCCTGAATGGTTACCGGTACATATAAAAGTTAAAATAGGATACTTCAAGATTTTTAGTAAATCTCTGCAAAATGTGTCAGGTTAAAGTTTATGTAATAAAAATTTTAAACGAAGAATCTACAGTTATATGAAGGTAATTAACAGTTACAGGTGTGTAGGATAAGCAATTTTATGTCCTTTTCGGCGAGAATTTCTCCACCATGTTTTGTCCGACCCTACAAATCATCGTTTGCGCATTACTTAATCTCAGTCAACCATATCATATCCTTTAAAAGCCGTAATAAATTAAAAGTCTTCACACGAATCTTGTTCGATTCAATCAAAGCTATATGTGATTGGATGAGAAACATGATCAAGAACAAATATATTCATTGTCATCTGTTATGTATTCCGCGTTGAATGATCTTCTTCGAGAAACATACATCTGTCTATTTCTATATTAAAGATCTATTGTCTAGCTCATCGACACGGGTGTTGGTGTGAGTTTGAGTATAGGTGTGTTTTACTTAGCTAAAAGGAACACTCACCCACACCCTCAAGGTCGTTACTTTTGACTAAATTGATCTTCTCAACAAAAAATAGTTTATTCAGAACTTATAGTGGATCAGTCTTGACATTATGCTCCATTGACTGAACTTTATTATTTCTATACCTTAAGTACTAACAAAGACGATATATCCGCAATATAAAGGAATCTAAAAATCTTTCTTACTTAGACATTTCTTCATTGTTGTATCACAGTTGTTACTTGTACAGTCTGAGCTTGACTCACAACCTTGCTCAGGTAAACATTGTGACTTGCAAGTTTCACCACCACAATCGACGTCGGTTTCATCCTGGTTCTTCATACCATCCTTACAAGTCGGTGCTATAACAAAGAAAAGGATAATCAACTTTGTGACATTATGACAATATGAAAAGTGTTGAAACTGTTAATGGTATTTATGAATATATTCACTTATTAGTTGTTTATTATATATTTATATATATACGTACTAGGATTTGAACTGAAGAACAAATACGGCACTCCTCTTTTAACATATATAACGTTATTGTCTAGTAGAATATTTAGATGAAAATGAGATGGGTTACTTTCTTTTTAAGTACACTCCAATAGCAATAGCTGACTAGAGAAGGTAATAAGTGACTAACTGAACTGCTCTGAATTGCAAATGAATATCTCATTGACTAGAAGAACCATCCGAAGACTCGTTTTCAAACACATTCCTTACGCACGGTTGTAGTTTATACTGGATTTGTAGAGCGTAAAGTAGTATAACGGGACTCGATAATGCCTGTCTTCTTTAAAAAAAATTTAAAAAACTCATATCGAGTGACTTTGTGAGTATGCTTAATACTTAATACTTTGCCAATGCTTCTCGTTTACTAAATATATCGACTGAATCCTTCATATTGTGGTCATATGTTTTCGAGTGTTCGGATAGTGCGGTAAGCAATTTATCTATCCAAAATATTTCTGTGGAGCACACATCGATCTCATATATGCCCGTGGATATTGGATCACATATGGAAAATCTACTAAAATTCTTTATATTAGTTAAGCGACTATATATGAATATCTACTGCATTAAGTTTCATTTAGACTTACTAAGGAGAGTACTGAAAAAGAAAAGACACGTTTCATTCAAATTATAAAATCGTACAACTTTCTTAGTTAGCAAAGAGCTTGTACTCAAATAGGAAAAAGCGGAAGACAGTCTTTCTAATCTTTGTTTTGACACTCGAAGGAATGTTTTGATACTACACATCTTCTATATTAGCTGACGACAGCTATACAAACGAAAAGAAAAAACTAAATGATTACTTACCTTGACATGTATTTGATCTTGAATTGCAATTTGCAATATCACAGTCCGTGTGTTTAGAGCAAACTTTACACAGATCGCACTTTTTCGAACAAATTGAACCACCACAATCGACGTCTGTTTCGTCTTGGTTCTTGACACCATCCGTACAAGTCGGTACTATAAAAAACGAAATATATAATCAAATTTGTGATATTCTGACAATAAAAAATGTTCTGGAGTTGCTGTTAATGCATAACAATATGCCATGCCACAGTTATCATTATTGATAAAGGTCAATGAAGCTCTGGTAATCCCGTTTAAAGCAACAACTCTAGTACTCTTAGATTTCCCCGGAAGTTTCCCATGTGTGATGCATGAAGCGAACTAATCTGAAGATTATAACTGCCAGCAAGTAAGATAAATATTCTGATATTTTAACGTTCATTCCATCTATGCCTTTTATTTATATAACGAGTTGTCTTCTCTTGTTTATATGTAAAAACTGCGACGACGGCATACTCGATGCCACATCATTTCATGCAGTGTAAGTCATTATTAGATTGTCTCTTTCGAGATGCAATGCAAAAGCATGTATGTTTTGTTTCGATTCGATTTATGTAATCTTTATAATCGGATCTGTACAGCTGTAAACTATCTGATGATTGTTTTTAGCATGAAACAGATGGCGATAATAATTACTAGATAAAACACACTATCACATCGTTACCGACACTTACACCGCTTGCTTTAGCTGTCTTCTGGTGCGACTAATCCTATGACTGGTCAATTTTATATAATCTGTACGGGGTTGGTTAGCAAAGAAATTGAAAAATCAGATAGAGCCATAACTTGATGACTTTAGGGAGAAAAGTAACAAGACTCTATAACAGAGAAAAAGAAATACGTCAACTTACCAACTTCCTTTGCTAGTGTTTGTATGGGTTTGCTACATGCACTGATTGCACTAAGTCCAATTGCAGTTATAGATTGCACTTTGAATACAAATGTTGTGCTTGGTGGTAGATTTAAAATGATTATCTTCTTGTGACTAGTATTTGTGTACTCTTCAGCCCATTGCTCTTCTTCCTCGCTTTGATTTTTAGCAACTAATGTTTTACCACGATGTTTCTGATACATAACTTTGTAATTCTGTACTTCTTCGGTTCCACTAGCTGCATCTGCCCATGATAATGTTACATTATTGTCTGTAACAGATATTGCATATGGTGCACCTGGTTTACTTGATATAATAAAGTCTTTTTTTCCTGAGCCACGTTCGTAGAGAATAAGCTCAATAGTTTTAGTATCATTAACTGAATATTCTTCATTGACGATAAATTTTATGCTTGCATTTCCAGCATTGTTTGCTTCAGCAAACTCTTGAAATTGTTGTACATTTTCGTGAAATTTTGTCATATTATGACGATTTCCAAACCATCTGGTGTGCTTTTTACCACTAGTCGATGAGTTAAAACTGTTCTTATTATGTAAATAATTCTGCATATCAGTAAGTTGAGGATCATTTTCTTCAATGAAACGAAATGATAGACAGAAAATATAATCGTATCTACTGTCATCAATGACTTCATCTAATGATGATGATTTAATTAGAATATGTAAGCTTCTATCTTTGGTAAGAGTTTTGATCCATGTTGTCATTAACGCGATTTCTTTTTCCTTTTCTTTGAGCCATGATTCTAATTTTCGCTGATTAAATGGCGATGAATCAGCTTGTTTAAACACATTAAATAAAACAGATTCTTCAACACCAGTGTTTTCGCGTAGTTTTGGTAGATATAATGCAATCTTTTCTTTCAAATCATATTGTATTTCCGACAATCGCGCGGTAAAATCTAATAATTGTTCTTTCATATGATTGAGACTTGTAAATATCGAGCTATTTGATAAATCTAATCCTCTCACTTTCAAAGAACGCATATTTTCAATCGTCGATATTGAGTCATGAACCAACTTGGGTGAGATTTCTCGAACAATTCTCGTTACATTATAATCCAAAAGATGTAATGGATAGAGCCACACTGCTTTTGGTATGGTGTTTTTATTGTTTTTACCTAACATTGACGGTAATTGGCGATAAACTGTAACAGCTTCATTAAAGCTATTTGGATATTTGTTCAAACGGAAATCTCCATAATATTCACAATGTAACTTATCGACGAAATTCTTTTCTTGCTTGGTCAAATTTAATTTAGCGTCTCCCTCCATTTTAAATATTGAATTCTCAAATATTTCTTGTAATCTATCGCTAACTTCCTCTTTAGTTTCACCTTTTAGTACTGTACGATCAAATACAAAAAATGCTTCAGCACCATAAACGACACCAGTAACAACATGTGTAGCAAGGTTTTTATCATGTAAATCTAGATGATCTAGATTACCTTTACCAAGATGTTCCATTGTTAACTGTTGAAAATGCGTTGTAGTTGAATATTTTAGTGTCAGACGGGCTTCATCGTTTGTTTTTTGATAATCCTCAGCATATTTTGCAGAACCTGATATACTCATTAGACCACTAAACAGTCTTAATTTTAAACTAGCTTCCACACCTAAAGCATGTGCCTTATCTTGTAATGAATTTTCAGTAATTATCTCACAGCTAGTATTCGATTGTTTATGTGTAATTGTATGGTTCGCCAGGGTCTGTGGATCCCACAGAGTTACGCCAGTGATTAACTTATCACTGCGAACATCATAGAGCATACCTAAATGAAATGGTCGTCCCAATGTAACCATTGTAATTGTTTGTTGTATCGCCATTATTTTCAATGACTGATAAGAAATAATTAAACATATCAGATGTAAAATAAGCATTAAATTGTACTGTATCCTTTCTTTATGCAACTGAAATAAAAACAAAAAATCTCAAATATGCAATATATGAAATTACATTGGCTCGTAGTCAGAGGTGATACACGATCTAGTACACTGTTACAGCTGTCTAGATAACCTTCTACTTCATTGTAGAAATTCTTTTATTCAACGGCTACATAATTCATCCCTCAGTCACATTTCTATTAAACACAAACGTTTATTATCTCAATTGGCAGATCTATGGAGGATAGTGATACTTGATTGGCTTTTGACTGATTTATCTAGCTATGATGAAACCTTGATTTAGCAAAGAGCTCGAAGTCTATAGAATATTTTATGAATAACTTCTTTGTAGAATAATTGACACTCATAATCCTAAAAAAATTGAGTAATTAAATTTATATGATCCTCTCAAACATAGTTCAAATCTTCTTCTTTTTTTCACAGATCTTCAATATTTCAAACCTTCTCCTCTGACTCTTATGAAATAATCTCCATACCTTCGATTGTGTATTAGTATGTCGTCTTTGTTTTGAAAAAAATATAAAAGACTAAATGGTAACCATCTTCTTATATATAGTCCTTCTTTATCTTTTTATTTTACTTCCGAAATTGGTATCTCTTGGTTTTTTCCAACTTAATGATAGGTATCTATTACATTTCATTTGTTTATTTTACTTCCGAGATTAGTATCTCTGGATTTTTCCCACTTTATCATAGGTATCTATTACATTTCATTTATAACAAAAAAGAAGAAGACCTTTTAATAATAGCTAGGATGGATTACGAAAATGCAATTTAAAAAATTATCTTTTAACATGTAATATGATACCGATCATGAAATGAGAAAAAAACAAAACACAATTTTCATTTGAAAATCACACAAACTTAACAAAAATTCATCGGAATCTATTCTTATCCAAGAGAAATTGAACATACACATAACACTTGTTGCATGATGCGTATAGTCGGTTCAACATATTTTAATTATACTATGTCACAAAAAATAATAAGAAACTGGAGAAATACGGTTATCAGCACTCTTCGTATTGATTCATCAATATGATTCTTATTATAACAACATATGAAAAAATACGCACTATTAGGCTAATATCCAGCTTTGGTTACTTCCAACTAATTTCAATATCATACATTTGAAAATACTACTGAAAATTGTCGAACTACAGCAGCAAATTATTTCAGCTTATATTATACTTAATCTATACTATCTTGCACTAATTCACACACATGGATTAGTATATAAACATGTATATTAAAATAGAAGAAGAAATTCTTTACCTCTCAGAATCTATGATAGATTTGTACAATAAACATCAAATAAATGATATGATTAAGACAAAATAAAAAATATTTATAATTTTTTTAAGATTGGCGAATAAAACAAGGATTAATATTAATTTGTTTTTCTTTCGGATTGATCTAATAAAATATTATCAATATAACATCTAAAAATAAAGAATAGATATTTAATTAGAACAAAATCAAATACAAATAATTTACTTTTAAAAAGCTTCAATTTCTTTATTAAGTGCATCCATTTCATCGATATCATTAACTTGTAGAATTTGTATATCATCAAAATGTTCTTTAACATTAGAAAGAAAATAAATGAGACAAATTATTATCGAATAAATACCTTCCAATCTATGAGTAAGTATAGTTGATGATGGAATATTTAAACCAGTATTACTATTAAATAGATCATAAAGTGAAAATTCATTTGAAACAGTTGATGTTTGAGGTTGTTCATCATGTGAATGTTTTCATTGAACTTGATTTGAACTTGTCACAGGTATATCATTCCATGTTGGATCTGAATTATCCATAGCATAATTCATTAGTGAATAAGTTGGAAAAGTAGTAGCACGTAATTCCGATGAAGGTTGCTGAACAGGATTAGATGAATGATAATCATTTGAATTCCAATGAAAAGAAGAAGTTTTATCTTCAACTGGAAGAATATCATTGGTTTTATTTGCTTGAACAAGAGGAGAAGATGGAATTAAAACTGGTGCTGTTGAAAGAAGAGTTGATGATGGTTTAACTAAATAATCTATACCTTGTATTTCTTCACGATTTGACCAAGTCAATGATGATTTAATCGCTTGTTTTTGATGATTATTTACTGGATTTTGGACATGTATTGCAGGAATGTTTGTATTATGTTGTTGTTGTTTAGTACTATTTGATATTACTTCTGGTGTGACTTTTTGTTGAGTAAGAATTGATGTTCCAGATTTAGTGTTTGTCTATTGTCATTTTTGCTTTGTATAAATAGGTGCCGATGAAATAGGTGTTGATTTATGTTTATTTTGTTTATGAGAAATTGCTATCCAATTAATTTCTTCTTCAAAACGAGAAGAATTTTCACACGAAGATTCAATAGCTGTTTGGAATAGAATCAATGTTTTCAATTAATTTTCCTTGTTGATCAGATTTTACTTTTGCTTTTTGTTTTCGCTTTGATAAAGGTTGTGGATTATCAGGAATTGAAAGCATTTCCTAAGTATATCATGAAAAAAAACCACAGAGATATTTCGTTGTGCTTTGTTAAAATATGTCTTTTTCAAATTTTAATCGATTTTTTTCATTGATTTTCAATAATACAACTTCACTTTGTGTTTTATTTAACAAAAAAGTTCTTTTCTCTTTTTCAAAATCAAAATTATATTTACAAAATTATTTCAAATTTTACAATTCGATTATTTCCTAAATCAACTACATAAAGATTTCCTTCATCATCAAAAGATAAACCACGGGGACCATACAATTGATTTTCTTTGCCATTCCCACCAACAACAACTTCACCTTTTCCTTCGCACCAACGCATTATTCGATCATTCCCACGATCTGCCACATATATTTGACCCAAATCATCAACAATGACTCCATAAGGTGAAGACAACTGAGTGAGATTTCTCCCTTCACCATTTCCTCCAGCCACAATTGTTCCTTCTTTTGAACCTTTTTTCCATTTCATCACACGATCATTGTCAGAATCTGATACATAAACAGATTGATCTTCATCAACAAAGATAAAAGTAGGACCATATAATTGATTGAGTTGATTTCCTTTTTCGTTTCCACCAGCTACTACAACTCCTTCATTGTATTCACCTATTCTCCATCGCCTCACTTCATTCTTTACACGATCAGAAACATAAAGAAATCCTTGTTTATCCATTGCCAAGCCATAACAATCAATATTTTGAATGAGAATTTGTTGAGTTTGATTCGTCCATTGAATTACTCGCTTGTTCAAAGAATCAGCAATGATGATCGAATGACTTTGTTCATCAACAATCACATCTGTTGGATGATCCAATTGATTCATACGATTTCCTTGCCCATTAACACCGACAATGATTTGTCCTTCTTTTGCATTGTTTTTCCATTCAATAATACGATGATTATTAAAATCAGCAATGAAAATATTTTTGTTTGTATCAATAAAGATTCCGCGAGGACCGTGGAGTTGATTTAATGCTTGACCTTTTCCGTTTCCACCAGCCACGGTGATGGGATTTTGTTTCCATTTGTTCAATATTGATTCTAGAAAATGGTAAAAACAAAACATTTTAATAAAAACAAGAAAATCTGTTTTTGGTTGAAGAAAAAGAATTTATTTTTGAAACAAATTGACAAAGTATTTAATTCAAACAGGAAAGAAATTAGAAAAAAAATTGTTGATTTACTCTTTGTTAAATACAAATCTTATCATATATAATAATAATTTACATTTTCAAAAAATTAAATTTTCTTTCTTTTCTTTTAAAACATATCAATTTTTCTTCACTTCAATGCTTTCGATTAACTCTGATTCACCCACCTGCATGATGTCCAGTCAGTCTCGAGCAACTTTCATTTTAATGTTATACATACTAAAGTTAGAATCAAATCACACCTTTTTCGGTATGATTTAGTGACGCCAGTCGTTTACTGTTATCTATCTTCTATACATTCAGTCCCTTTAATAGGTAGCATCACCAAACTTTCCATGGTACTCCGCTAGGTCCATGGGAAGGTCATGAGGAGGTTGGCATCACTAAACGAGGGGGAGAGCTGGGTAAAATTTCACTTAGACATTCCTGTGATAGCTAACGTTATCAAACTGTCCATGACACTTCCTTATGTACAGAAAAAGTCGAGATAAAGTGCAGACAGAGTTGGAGCGAAATCTATAAGAAAAAGGATGGATTTTGCAATGAGACCTGTAAAAAACCGGGTGGACTTGGAGTGCTCCATAGGCTGAGCTGTGCTATTTCAAATATGTATGATGGAATATATTATGGTGATAGATGAAGAATTTCACGCACAATCCTCTCTGTATTTCCTATCGTTTTCTAATATATCAAGTTTTCGGTCTGTAAGGTTCTGAACCGACCTCGGGTATCTTCGCTACTTGATTGATAAAACTGAAAAAAACAACGATTTATCAATTATATCAAAATGACTTACTGCATTCTTTTGATCTTTTTCTAATCATATATCGTATTGTAAATATTCCAGTTCCAATCATCAAAATAAGAATAAAACTACATATCAATAATTTTAACTGCCAATTACTTCGAATATAATGTTTTGATTTTCGTTTTTGTATTGTGTCTAAAATGACAGATTAATATTATGTATCGAAATCTGAAAAAATGAACATGTTTGTTTTACCATTATAAGTTAATTTATCTGTTTCACTTGTCTCAATTTCAATTTCATTATCATTTAATTCTATTTTCTCCTTGATGTTTGTTTTACTATTGTAAGTCAATTTATCTATTTCACTTGTCTCAATTTCATTATCATTTAAGTGTACTTCATCTTTGATTTTCACTATAATGTGTCTCAACCGAAGATGTTCTTCATAATCTTTTTGTTGAGCGGCAATTTCAGCCAAATCTTTGTAAACAGTAAGAACTAAAGGATCATTTTGTGGAAGTTCATCTAAACAACGATAATAATATGTCTTCGCTAAATCGAGATGTCCCATTCTTCGTACAACTGTTCCTAAAATACAAAGATTTGTTTCACCATCTCCAATTTCATTTTTCATATCCATAAGAATTTGTTTTAAATCATGTTCATCATCACTACATAAACACATGTTAATAATCCAAATTTCATTTTCATCATCACGAATAACTGAATTCAAACGAAATATCGATCCAAGCATAAAAAGAACTTCTAATTCATTACTAAAATCACTAAATTGACTAATATTAGCAAATGGTTTTGTTGTAACAACTTTTGGATCAGCATCAATTTCAAATAGAACTTTTTCAAGACCAACCCATCGATGATTTGTATCACCGACATAAAAATTTGCAATATCTTTTTGAAAACTCGTCGAAAGAAATGAATTAACTGAAACATATTGTCCAACACTATTTTTAAGATAATTTAATTCATCAATTGATATTAATTGACTTCGATAAACACGAGTAGAACATTGACATTGATGATTTTGTAATTGATTTTGTATATCAATAATAAATGAACGATATAAATAAATCATATGAATATTTTCTTTTCTTAAAGCTGCATTTAATGTTTTATAAAAGAAAGATTCACGAGTATACCACCATAAAACATTATCCGATGAATAACTGCTCTGAAATTCATGAAGATGATTTAATTCATTTTGATTTCCTTCATATTCTTTTTCACAATATGAAATTAATTCATTTCGATCATTTTCATTCGATTTTAATCGAAGAAGACAATCAAGTAATAATTGAGACAACGCAAATTGACCATTAATTTCTGTTGTTGATTTTCCCGCATCACTTATTGTTGTACAAATATTCATCCATACAGGTTCTTCTATTTTCCGACGATTTTTATAATCTTCACGGATTTGTGAAATCAGTTCATCCATTTTAACATGAATACCTTTTAACTAGAAAAATAATTATTGAAATTAAACTTTATTAATACTTTTTTTATTTACCTTGCGAAAATCATTTCTCCATTGTTTATCTTCTGAGTTGATATATATTGATGAAATTTGCCCTAAATGATGGATTGAAGGAAAAATTTGTTTACCGAATTTATCAGTAGTAACAAGAACTAATCGATCATTTTCTGATATTTTTTCAATATCATTTTTACATTCTTCAACATCATGAAAGTGTCTCTTAGATTTTTTTCATATATTTATGAATCGATGCTAATCACTAAGTTTTGCATCTATATTCGCACTCGAATTAGATAACTAATACAATATTCACATTTTCTTATATGATTTATTATTGAATAGAGAGATATCTGACTTTATTCATATAAGTATCATGATTTAGAAAGATAAACGAAAAACTAAATATTAATGTTATTGTACAAAATGAGTAACAGTATAACAATAGGTAAAGATAAAATATCAATAGAGTTGATGTTAGTCAGTATTGAACGTATCGATTTGATTTCAATTCTAAATAATTTTCTGCCATCTAAACTGACTAACTGATAAATATAAAACAAATCTTTTTTAAAGGAATATTTATTTCTCTCAACCAGTTTCACATTTTTGAATATTTAAAGATTTTTTGTCGGCGATAAAAAATTGATTTTTATATGGAGTACTCGCTTGAGAATCAGAGACTTTCTTTCAATAAACTTACCGATGGAATTGTTTATTATTTCAATAGTTGGATTAACAGTTAATTGATTTTTGATTGCGAGTGATTTTTGATGCCAATGAACACTCATATCATAGTCATTTGTTTGTGATGCCAATTCACCAAGATCTTCATATAAACTGCTAAGTAAAGGGTCATTTGGTGGAAGTTCTTGTAATAAACGATTAAAGTACTTTTCAGTCAAGTCAAGTTTACCCATTTTCCACAATAATTTTCCTAATGTTCTAAGATTTATTTCCTCATTTTCAATTTGTTGTTTCATATGCATAAGAACTTGTTTTAAATTATGCTCATCATCATTACATAAAGTCATTTTAATAATCCATATTTGATCATCATTACGATAAATATTATTAAGACGAAAAATGGAACCAATCATAAAGAGAACTTCTGATTCAACTGGAAAATAACTATGTTCACTAATATTAGCAAATGGTTTTGTATTAACTATGTTGGGATCAGCATCAATTTCAAACAACACTCGTTCCGAATCAATCTGTGTACTTATATCACCTAGGAGAAAAAGAGCTGTTGAACGTTCGTCAGTGGTGGAGAAAAATGAATTTATAGAAATGAACTGGCCAATATTTTGTTTAAGACTATTTAATTCATCGTTTGACATTAGCTGACATCGATAAACCCGTTCAAACTTCTTAGATTGATAGTTCTGTAATTGACGATAAATATCATAAATAAATGACCGAAATAAAAAAATCATATGAATATTTTGTGTACGTAAAGCTGCATTAAGAGTTTTATAAAAGAATGTTTCTTTTGTATACCACCATAACACTTCATTAGGTGAATAATCTTGTTGAAATTCACGAAGATTATTTAGTTCGATATGATTGCCTTCATATCCACTTTGACAAATATTACTAAGTTCATTTTTGTCTATTTCAGTTGATTTTAATCGCAGAAGACAATCAAAAAGAATTTGAGAAAAAACAAATTGTCCATTAACTCCTGTTGTTGATTTGCCTGCATCAACACTTGTACTGAAAATATTGATTGATAATGGTTCTTCTACCTTTTCCTGAAATTTATAATCTGCCGTAATTTGAGAGATAAGTTCATCAAGATTAACAACAACAGATTTTATCTACAGAAAAAATAATAAAATGAAACAAACATCTTTTAGAAGAATTTTACTTTGGAAAATTTGAAAGTCCATTGTTCATTACTCTTTTCATCCATACAATAAACATAAACTGATATAACTTGTCGAAGTTGATGAATGTCAGGTACTATTTCTCTTCCCAATCGACCGCTAACAATAAGTATTAATCGATCTTGTTGTGATCTTTGTTCAATATATTGTTGGCATTGTTTTATATCTTGAAATTTCTTGATATGATTAATAATAGAACGTAATTTTTGTTCGGTGCCTCGAGTCTCTTTAACGTTTATATTTGCATCGAGCCAAATAAGTGAGAAGATTTCCAGAGACTTATCATCGGTATTTGTGTTAAAGTCATCATTTGGTAGAGCAGCAGTAGCCATCTTAAGTTAATAAACTAAAAATAGTATAGAGCTCTCAAATGTCATGTGTTTAATCTATATAGAATAATTGAATATGTCGCAAAATCTAGAAAGGAAAAATGTAGAAAAATAAAAATCTTACAAAATCCTAGAGAAAGTCGAAAATTTTCAACAAATAGATTTATTTTTATTTCCCAAAAAATGAAAAAGCAGAAAAAGTATCAAACGAGAGAAGATAAATGTGGGTCTGTGTCTTGGTGTTCTCTTTAGATCAACAAGGTACATTCACACCCACACCCTCAGCGATAAAATCTCCAGTTTCCCACTTTCAAAAATTTAAATAAGTGTTCATGTATATTTTATATGAGCTTTAAGGCATAGATAGAAAACATCGATTCGCCGTTCCCGTGCTGAATCGAAACACGCATACAAAATCTACATGTGACACGACTACTAAATTTACATCATTTTTACAAAAATTAATTACAAATCATACCACACAAGTTTCCACAATCGAATATTTCAACGTTTTTTTCTAAACGCTTCTAAATATATAATTCATTCTGAAAAACCGTAAGGAATTTTTCAATGAAACGAACAAGAATACACTGGTATGAAATATATATATATCAGTATTTTGCCAGAAAAGAAAATATTCCTAAAGTACTCATAAATAATGAATTTTGAATGTACATTCAAAAATACAGCGTGAAGTCGTGAAAAAAATGAGTATTTTACGCCTTTACACGATTGAAAAAAGATAGATATCCAAAAATATATGAGTTTAAATCATCATACTGCTCATCTAACACTCTTAACAATGCAAGTTTCTCTTATCCATTAAAACGCTCGAATATCAATGGTTGGATAAGTTTAGACAAGTCTTCTTAAATAGAACTCATTATATCGCAAGTGTAAAACGATAATATTTTTTTTAAATTCACAAATGCAAAATATAATATATGAAAACATTATCAAAAATTTTGCTTGTATTTTGATTTTTTGGGTGAGAAAAGGTAATCCAATTTAGCTGGAATTTTTATCGGATACTTACCTTACTACTCCCTATCACATGTAAAAAAATCAGCAAATTCTGGCATGTCATTGTCCCACCCGCCGTCTGAGTTTTTCAGGAACTTACTCATGTTGAGTTTATTTTTAAATACAATGCAGCTATAATAATTACATAGCTTTTCGAGTTGTTTCACTTCATCCTTTAACTTGAATTTTTTTAATAGATTGATTATACGATATTTTCATAGCATCTTTCTTGAGTTTAACAAATGTTTCCTTTTACATTCTGAATGGTGTGATTTTTCATCATAGTTCACCATTGGTATTTTATTGATATTTGTATTATTACTATTATCACAAGTATTTTTCTGATTAACAAGAACTAAATTAAGTTTTAGACAAATATAAAATATAAACATTGTTAAGCACTTACGCTGTTGCATAGAATATTTATCTTGATCTAGATCTTCAAGAAGTTGATTGATCATTGGTGGCATTATCATCGTTAAACTTTCAACTGATTGATTATGTGCATCTGATTGACTGTGTCTCCAATGTCCTAGATTAATAAAATATAATAGAAAATGAATTAATGAACAAAGTAAAGAGCATACCTCTTAATAATTTCACAGCATTAAGTACATTGAATTTCATCAAATGCATTTGTTAGAAAAGTAAAATCTTTTTCACTCACTTTGTCTTGATCGAAAAAAGAATCTACAAGACAAAGTGTTTCGCCAAGTGTTGGGTTATCTCGAATTGATCGTGCTACATCAAAGCAAAGATATAAATGTAAGCGTTTTCGATCATCATTACTAAGATGCTCTTGTATTTGCAATATAATAGCACGCAAACGATGCTTATCCATGAGCTGATATGGTTTCTGCAAGAGAATAATAACTGTTTTATATCACACTTAGATATCTTGAAAAAGCACTTATTTACTATTCATATAATTTAAATTGAGGACTTAGCGAGAAATTTACCTTCTGTCTTATATATGATAGAAAAGATTATGTATTTTCTACTATTATTCCACAACTTCTTATCAAGCAATTGCTCTTCCCGCATAACATAAAAATAAACAGAAAGTTATGATATAATATAGTCGATGGGAAAGAACAGACAAAAAAGAAATAGGAAAAAGAAACATTAGAGAGGTATATATAGAATTAGTACTAGACTAAAACTGTACGCTATAAAGATACAGAACAAAAAGAAAAGAGAACAACAATCGAGGAAAGGCTATCTCAAGGACTTTATATATAATGATAATCAATATATCGATACATTACTCTAATAGATTCAACATCAAAAATAGCCAAGACACTTCAATTTGTAATTTATACATTGATATAAATAACTTATGTGAGACTTTTTTCTATTTTGCTACAAAAAAAGAATTTAGTTATCTTATAGAATACATTACTGTTCTTTTTGACCAGAATAACTTTCAACAGAACGTCAACCAAGTGTCTAAATTTTGTACATAAATTCATGGAATTACAGTATACGCTGTACTAATTATGCCCTAGTCAATGATAGTGTTTTATATTCTAGTAAGAATAGTGTCGACTGAGAAATTCAATACACAAAGATGTTAGATTATTCATTAAAGCATGTTATATAAGCTGTTGACAATGCCGATATCACATAATATGTAGTATATAACAAACAAAAGCTACAACCAACTTATTTTATTCTTTGATTGTATTGAGAAAAAATTTGATCATACCAGCATATATGTTTGTTTATGGATGAAACAAAAATGTATAAATAATTGTGTTTTGTAATGGACAACATTATCCATTGATGAAATAAGAAAAATCTTAATAGTTAGATCTCTTTCTTACATACATATATACTCCGATTTTGATTAGAGATCAATTTTTATTCTCTTTAACTATTTACAATTTTTAACTCATAGAATATATCAGCACATATATGATTAATATTTTTCTAATTTAACTTGTTATTTGTCTAAATGACTTAACTACCAAAATACACGATAATAAAATGTCTCTCTTTGAGTTTTAGATCAAAATACGACGGACTTCTCTCTTTTCTCATCGTAAAGCTGTATATTTGTGATCGTGATTGTCGTGATGCAGTTATGAATATACCAGTTATCAATTAAGCAATCACAACAGCAATTTAATCGTGAGACCAACAAAATTTAGTCATATTATGAAAACACGTACATGAACAATTCGTCCTATTAAAGATAATGCTAATACCACATGTTTTAAGAGATATAAGGGTGTGGATGTGGTTACTTTTACTTTACATTTATACCTTCACACCCAAATCAAATTAAATATGGTAAAGAAATTATCAAATGCTTATTCTAATTTTTTTTGAAAAATAAAAAATATTACTGCACGTTTATTGAAAGAAATCAGATCAAGGTATTTTCATTTCACGAAAAATCTTTCACAATAAAAGTCACATTTGAATTTTGTATTATTTCAATCTCTTGTTCATTTTTACAAATCAGCTTTCAATTCAATTTTTCTTGAAAACTACTTCAAAAGTAAGTAAAAGAAATTTTATCAAAAATCAATTTTTTTCTTCAAATTTCAAATCAACAAACAAAATAAAATAGGAAAATGATAAAAACTTATTAATTTATTAAACAAAAGTCTTTTCAGCACCTGTTCTGTTCAACAGAATTCATTTCAATTCAATTTTTATTATCAATTTTTCATAAAACATGTTTTATTTTTTCAAGTTTCGAACAATTCACAAATTTTATTAAACCGAAAAAATTGATTACTTTTATCAAATAAAAATACTCAAATGGAATTTTATCAAAAAGCAAAATCTTCTTTTCGAATAATTTTTATTTCAGTTCAACTCAAATTACAAAATGCTTTCTTTTTTCTTCTGTAGAATTCGACAAAGATCAACAAAAGATGGACAAATTTAATGTTCATTTATTCGAATTTTTCACGGATTATCAATAATAAAACTTCGCTTTTTCTTTTATTTTTATTTCTCGATTTCTATTCAACAAAAAAAAATTTCTTTTCTTTTTTCATAATCAAAATTTTATTTACACAATTATTTCAAACTTTTGAATTCGATCATTTCCCCAATCAACAACATAAAGGTTTCCTTCATGATCAAAACATAAACCTGTAGGAAGATTCAATTGATTTGATTGATTTCCTTCACCGTTTCCACCAACAATGATTTCACCTTCTTCTTTTTCTTCGCACCAACGCATTACTCGATAATTTAAACAATCAGTCACATAGATTTGACCGAAATCATCGACAATGACTCCTACAGGTGCAGACAATTGATTTAGATTTCTTCCTTGACCATTTCCTCCAGCTACAATTGCTCCTTCTTTTGCACCTTTTCTCCATTTTATCACACGATGATTGTTGCTATCTGATATATAAACAGCTTGATCTTCATCAACAAAGATAAAAGTAGGATAATCGAGTTGATTGAGTTCATCTCCTTCGCCATTTCCACCTGCAACCACAATTCCTTCGATGTTGTATTCTCCCATTTTCCATCGTCTCACTTCATGCTTCTTCCAATCTGAAACATAAAGAAATCCATTTTTATCCATTGCCAAGCCATAACAGTGAATATTGTGAATGAGAATTTGTTGCTTTTGATTCAACCATTGAATCACTCGTCTGTTATTACTATCAGCAATCATGATGGAATGATTTTGTTGATCAACAATTATATTTGTTGGCTCATTCAATTGATCCTTTCGATTTCCTTTGTCATTTCCACCTGCAATAATTTGTCCTTCCTTTCCATTATATTTCCACTCAATAATACGATGATTTTCATAATCAGCAATAAAAATATTTTTGTTCTCGTCAATATAGATTCCTTCAGGATCATTGAGTTGATTTAATTGCTGTCCTCGTCCATTTCCACCAGCCACAGTGATACCGTTTTCTTTCCATTTGTGCAGTTTCGGTTCTAGAAAATAATGAAAACAAAAGATTTTGATGAAAACTAGAGAATTTGTTTTTCAGTGGAGAAAAAAGAAAAGATTAGTTTTGAATGAAACTTTTACTGAAAAAGAGCATAAAACATTTGAAGTTTTATATTTGGGAAATAAAAATAAATTGTTCTGAAAAGAGAAAAAAAGAAAAACTCTTTCAGTATTTTTTTGAATAAAATTTCGTAAAATGAAACGAAGAAATGTTTTGTTTTCGAAAGAAAAATTAAAACATAGAAAAGATTTCGTTGATTTATTTTTTGTTAAATAAAATTTTAGAAATAATTCAGTTTTGGTTGTTATCAATCAAACGTTTCTTTTAAATCTCTGAAGAAAAATTAATTTTTTAATCTAATATTATTTCATATTTTATCATTCTTGTTTTACTTAGAAATAAATACAATTTTTATTTATATTAATATTATATTATTATTGATTTAATTAATTAGTAAATTAATCATTGATATTCTCAATTTTTTTCTTCTTCATCATTATTTTTCATTATACTAATGATTTTCAATACAAATTCATCGAAAATTAATATGTTTCTTCTAGAAATTATTTCTTAAAAACTTACTTTTTGATAAAATAATTGAAATATCACTAATAAATGATTGTGGATCTTCTTGAATAGAAATATTTGACGGATGCTTTAATTCTTCTGTAATTTTTCTTAATTGATTTCTTAAATAGTTTAAATTAATTTCGTTAAAGTCATTTTGTATCTGAAGTTGTTGTATTTGTTTATTTAAGTCATTAAATTTCGTTTCTATATCATTAATACATGTTTGTAATGATCCAATAATCATTTTTCTAGAATCTTTTGCTTTTTGTTTAATTTTTTCAATTGAAACTTTTTCCCATTGATCAATTTGTTCTATTACCGTATAACTTTGTGAATATTGTTTTTGTTCATTAATTCTTTCTTTAAATTCATTATAATCATCAACAATATGATGTAGTTCTTCATTCAATCTTTGGTGATGTTCTGGTATATGTATAACACAAAATCTTTTTGAACATCCTTCACAAGTATACGTATTGTTTTCTCTATCACATGTAAAACATTTTCTTTTATTGTTTGCCCCTGCCATGTGTTTGAATAGAAGTCTATAGAAGAAATGAATAATTTATTTATCTATTTTTTTAGATATAAACTTAAGAAAGTGCTTATATACACACGTGTACATAGTTAGTCGGCTATGTACAGACAAGTATATGTGGTTGACTAACTATTTACATAGAAAGGTATAACCATTTTACTAGTAAATATAAAATCATATTATTATCTAATATGTATCTTTTGTTAATAAAAACGAAATGTCTTATCTTTTCAATAATTTCATTTAACTTTATATTATGTAATGTTGTATTTTAGAATATAATTCATAGTTTTATTTTTCTTCGAACAGAGTCACTGTGATAGCATACATACATACATTATATTTCAATATTGAAAACAATGGAAGAATTCTTTCATTTATGTGTTATTATATTTCGTTAGAGAATGTTTAACATTCACTGTTTCATACTACTCAGAGAATAAAAACATATAAAAAAATTGCATTAAAATCGTGAAACAGACATTTTTTCATGTATTTTTTTTATATTATCTCCTTTAAATTTCTCTTTGACTAATCGTAATTAGTATTTAATTAATAACTTTATCAAATATATTTGTATTTGAAGCAGGACAAAACTCATAATTTTTATTATTTAAAGATGTTTTTGTAAATTACTTCTTGGCTCAAGAGAAGATAACAATGTTGAAAATTCATTTGATGAATAACTTGATCAAAATTTATTCATCTAAAAGTTGAATACGTTTTAACTGGTGATGCTAAAGAAAGAAGAACATCTATATAGAGAGAAAAGAAAACATTGAATTGATATTTAACCTAATTTTCGTGATAGATTTATATTTAAAGATCCTTGATTTGTTGATGATAAACAAGATGAGCATGTTGTATTTTCTGTTTTAGTTAAAGAAGGTTTTGTTAATAAAAGAAGATCAGCTTGAAGTTTTGATGATACTGATGATAAAGGTTTCGGTGATAAAATAAATCAGAAGTAAAAGAAATTTTACGTAATGATGAAAAGGGTGCAAGTGTCGGTGTGAGTAGACGTAGGTTCCAGTTGTATTTACCGACACTCACATACTAAAAAAAGACTTCGTTCTTTTGTTAAAATGTCTTTTTTTCTCAAATTTCATTCGATTTTTTTCGTTAATATTCAATAATAAAACTTGACTTTTTCTTTTGTTTCTCGGTTATTTATTTAACAAAAAATTATTTTTCTTTTTGCCAAAACTAAAATTTCATTCACAAAACTGTTACAAATTTTTGAATTCTGTGATTGTCACGATCAACAACATAAAGATTTCCTTCATCATCAAAAGATAAACCATAAGGACAATTCAATTGATTTGGTTCATTTCCTTGATCGTTTCCACCAACAACAATTTTACCTTCTTCTTTTCCTTCACACCAACGCATTACTCGATGATTATCACAATCTGCCACGTAGATTTGACCCACATGATCAACAAATACTCCTCGAGGATAAGACAATTGATTGAGATTTCTTCCTTGACCATTTCCTCCAGCCACAATTGTTCCTTCTTTTGCATCTTTTCTCCATTTTATCACACGATGATTGTTGCTATCTGATATATAAACAGATTGATCTTCATCAACAAAGATAAAAGTAGGATAATTGAGTTGATTGAGTTCGTCTCCTTCACCATTTCCACCTGCCACTACAATTCCTTTATTGTATTCACCCATTTTCCATCGTCTCACTTCGTTCTTCTGATAATCAGATACATAAAGAGATCCATGTTTATCCATTGCCAAGCCCCAACAATGAATATTCTTAATGAGAATTTGTTGATTTTGATTTAACCATTGAACCACTCTTCTGTGTCCACGATCAGCAATGATGATCGAATGATTTTGTTGATCAAAAATCACATCTGATGGATAATACAATTGATTCATTCGATGTCCTGGTCCATTTCCACCTGCAATGATTTGTCCTTCCTTTTCATTACATTTCCATTCAACTATACGATGATTCGTCCAATCAGCAATGGAAATATTTTTCTTTTTATCAATAAAGATTCCTCGAGGGCTATGGAGTTGATCTAATTGTTGTCCTTCTCCATTTCCACCAGCCACAGTAATGGCACTTTGTTTCCATTTGTTCAATTTTGGTTCTAGTAAAAGATGAAAACAAAAGATTTTGATGAAAAGAAGAAGAGGAAAAGTTGTTTTTGATCGAAGAAAAAAGAAAAGATTTATTTTAAATAAAACGGTAATAAATATATTTAATAAAGAGACAAATTTTATTTTATTTCTCTAATTTATCAAGAACTTTAATATAAAATATCTAAAGTGATGAAACTAGAACAATATTTCTTTATAAATTATTTGATTTTTGTTAGAATAATTATCAAAATTTGAAAATAATCCAATTTTGATCTTATTGATCAAACATCTTTTGAAACTTCGAATAAAAAGTTTTTTTAATTAACTTTTATTTCTTATCTTATTATTTTTTTCTTTATCATCACCTTTCTCTGTATTTATAGTTTTTTAACATAAATACATAAAAAATCTGAATTTTTTCTTTTAGATTGTATTTATTAAAAGCTTACTTTTTTCTAATGAAATAATTGAAATTTCATTAATAAATGATTGAGAATCTTGCTGAATAGACGTCGTTGATGGGTTATTTGATTCTTGCCTAATTTTAATTAATTCATTTCTTAAATAATTCAAATTTATCTCATTAAATTCATTTTCATTGTGAAATTGTTTTATTTGTTCATTTAAATCATTAAATTTCTTTTCAATATCATTAGTACATGTTTGTAATGATTTAGTGACAATTTCTCTACACTCTTTTGCTCTTTGTTTAATTTTGTTAACTGAATCTATTTCCCATTGATTAATTTGATCTAATAAAGATAGATCATGTGGATTCGGCTTTTGTTCAGTAAATCTGTGTTTAAATTGATTATAATCATTAATAATATGATTTAATTCATTATTTAATATTTGATGATGTTCTGTCAGATCCATTAAACAAAATCTTTGTGAACATCCTTCACAAGGATATGTTATTTTATCTTTATTGCATGTAAAACAATGTGTTTTATTGTTTGTCATTGCCATGTTGTTGAATATGAATTTCTAGAAGAAATGAATATTTTCTAATCTAGTTTTCTAGATGCAAACTTAATAACTCAATAATAATAAAAAAATTGCTCAGTAGTATGAGAAATAGAAATTGATGTGCTTTTGATTTTAAATAAAAGTTCAAACAATTCTAGTGATGTTTTTTCAACGAAAGAATGTTTTAACGTAGATTTAGATATAGTTTAATGTTAAACACGGATTTACACCCATGACTTTACCCTCGAAATGGAAGATATGTTAATCTCTACTTCACTCAAGTGCATCGCTATGTTCATTTTAATCCATTCTTACACTGTTATTATCATCACTCTTATTCTCAAAATAGTTATTATGAAATATTCTTTTTTTTTCTCATTTTTTCTATTATTTCAAAAGACTAACTTACCAAAATGAAAGTATTTCGAAGAATTGAATTTCGACTATACTACTACTTGTAAGCAAACAAATAAATTATTCGTTCTCTACATTAAGCATATATCTGATCACATGGTATTTTCTTCCATTTATAGTCATATAGTATTTTTCCTTTTCTTCTGCTCTTGTAACTTACATAGAAATATGTTATCTTGAAGTTATGAACAAAAGTATATGACATGGGTATTTTCTTAGGATATATTATATTTCGGAGACGAAAATAATCGAACAAATGACCACTACTCATCGTATAAATACTCTTGTTTTTTTTTTGTATCAACAAAGCATTATAGGCGCTTTCAAACATCGCATCTTTTTCTTCAACCTTCGATAAGACTGTAACATCACCTTTAATTTCTCTTTTATCGATTTATTAATTCTTCTTAACTATTGTTTTTTCCAACTATATATTTGATTTGAAAAAGAAAAACTATCGAAATAAATAAGTAAAATATGATCAAATTTAATTATAATTAATCGAATATCCCAAAACATTTTTTTATATATCGCAGCATTGATACATAATAGAAGTTTGATCTTTTCTCTTTTAAAAGATTCACTATGAAAAGCTCTGAAAAATGATGATATGTTCTGGTTAAATAATTTGATATATAAATGAATAAGAATTGATCATTAATCGATTCCATATGTTAGTAATTGAATTAAATTTAGTGGATAAATTATGAAATGATAATAAAATATATTGAAGAATTTTGACAGAAAATTTATCAACAAATTAAAGAGATTTTAATAACAAGTTTTCTATAATAGATATAACGTGTTATTTCGATATTCGATTCATTCTTGTTGAAAGTAAAAATAAATCCGTATTGTTTTTTTCCTTTCTTAAATAATATGTATACATATATGAAAACATATTTTATAAATCTCTTCTCAAACATAAAACTCTCAATTCACATAAATATTTTTTATTTTATTTTTGAGAACAAAAGATATTTTCTCATAGCCACATGTATTCTTGACAAACTATTTATTCTATTATTTCTTCAGTTATTATAGTGCTATTCTTTGTCAAAAATTTTACTTTGAAATGTGAATGAAAGTCAAGAAGTTGTGAAAATAATATTTATACCTTCACGTGGTTTTCCTTTCTGAAATGAAAGTAACTTTTTGTTTGATACAACTGAATTAAATATGATAAAAATATTATGAAATCAGATGAAAACATATTAATTCTATTAAAAATATATTAAATCAACAATTCAACTTAAATCCTGGATCATCTCAGAACTTCTATTGCTTTTTATTATTTTTAAATGAGAATCTTTTCGACATTTGTTTTGTTCAAGAAAACTCATTTCAATTCCAGTTTTATTATCAATTTTTCATAAAATATATCTTTTTTTCAAGTTTTATAGAATTTTATCAAAGATAAAATCTTCTTTTCGAATAGTTTTGATTAAAAGAAACCAAAAAGACTTTTCTTCGTTCTTTTGTTAAAATATCTTTTTGTTCAAATTTAGATCGTTTTTTTCATTGATGTTTAAGAATAAAACTTCACTTTATCTTTTGTTTCTGAGTTATTTATTCAATAATTTTTTTTTCTTTTTTTCAAAACTAAAATTCTATTCACAAAATTATTTCTAATTTTTGAATTCGATGATTATAATAATCGGCAACATAAAGATTTCCTTCATCATCAAAAGATAAACCACTGGGACCGTACAATTGATTTGATTGACTCCCTCCACCGTTTTCACCAACAACAATTTCGCCTTCTTCTTTTCCTTCACACCAACCCATGATTCGATTATTCCCGCTATCTGCCACATAGATTTGACCCAAATCATCAACAACTACTCCTTGAGGTAACTGCAATTGATTGAGATTTTCTCCTTGATCATTTCCTCCAGCCACAATTGTTCCTTCTTTAGCATCTTTTCTCCATTTCATTACACGATGATTCATCCAATCTACTACATAAACAGATTGATCTTCATCAACAAAGATGAAAGTAGGAGAATTGAATTGGTTAAGTTGATCTCCATCTCTGTTTCCGCCTGCTACTATAATTCCTTCGTTGTATTCACCCATTTTCCACCGTCTCACTTCATTCTCCATGTAATCAGAAACATAAAGAAATCCATGTTTATCTATTGCCAAGCCATAGCAGCCAATATTGTTAATGAGAATTTGTTGAGTTTGATTTAACCATTGAATCACTCTTCTGTTACCATGATCAGCAATGATGATCGAATGACTTTGTTGATCAACAATCACATCTGTTGGATTATTCAATTGATCCATTCGATTTCCTTGTTTATTTCCACCTGCCATGATTTGTCCTTTCGTTGCATTATATTTCCATTCAACAATACGATGATTTCCAGAATCAGCAATGAAAATATTTTTGTTTTTATCAATAAAGATTCCTTCAGGGTCATCGAGTTGATTTAATTCTTGTCCTTTTTCATTTCCACCAGCTACAGTAATGGCATCTTGTTTCCATTTCTTGAATTTTAATTCTAGAAAATGATGGAAAAAAAAGATTTTAATAAAAAGAAGTAGATGAACATTTTTTGTTTTTTTGTTAAAATTGAATTTTGAAGAAAAAAGAGAATCTTTGAGTGGTTTTTTGAAGAAAATACATTTTTATTGAAAGATAATTTGTTTTCGAAACAAATTGACAAATAACTAACTTGAAAAGAGAAGGAAAGAGAATAAAAATGACAAAAAGATTTCGTTGATTTATTTTTAGTTAAATGAAAATTTCAAAAAAAGCAATACTTTGTAACGAAAATTTTGTCTTGGCTTTGCCTTTCTTTGATCAGACTTCTTGAATATGTCATACACTATTTGTATCTATTCTATTATTGAAATAAGATACATAAATAAATATAAATTACAACCTTCGGATAGATTTTTTCATCAACAAATTTACTTCATTCATTTCTTTTCAATAAAATCATACCTTTGATTGTCGTTGTTGCTGACGTTGATGTTGTTGATGTTGTTGTTGACGTTGTTATTGATGTTGGTGGTGTTGTTGTTGAGATTATAGTTGTTGTTGATGTTGTCGTAGTCTGTTCTATTTTGCAAAGGTAAGTTTAGAATGAGACAAAAAGAATGGCTACGGATTTATCCCTAATTTCTTACTTTTTGAAAAAAAGAAATATTTTAAAATATTTGTCAATAAAAGCAGTGATTCGAAGTAAAAATTTTGTGTAAAATAAAATAAATTAATAAAGATTCAAGATATTCTAATTAGAAATAAATTCTATCTTTTACTTTCGCTTATCAAATCAACATTTAAATAATAAAAACGAGAAGTAAAACGAGATGATTTACGAAATAAGATAATAATGAAAATAATATTTTATTATTTCTAAAATGAAAATATCCTTGCTTTACGAAGATCTTCTTTAATATACAACGAAAATAACAGTTATTCAATACAACACTAAGGCTATAACTAATAGGAAATAGTTCTATTGTATTTAATCCTAAATTCTGAAATTGTAGCAGAAAACTATTAGTATAAAATGAAGGCTTTTATTCCAGCCGAGAAGTTTTCGAGTGAACAATTACTTTTGAATACAAGAATGATAAATTTGTGGAATAGTCTGTAGTTGATATCCTTATTGTAGGACAAACTAGTGTTTGGGTGTGGGTGTGGGTGTGAGTGTCAGTATAATGTGACGCCTACCCGCACCCACACCCACTCTCAGCTATAAAATAAAGAATCATTTAGCTTGCTAGTTACCGATTGGTATTGTTGTTGTTATGATTGTTATGTTGACTGTAGCTTTTGTTGCTGTTGTTATGATTGTTTTAGTTATTTTTGTTAGCGGTAGTGGTGTAGTTGTTGTTGGTGATATGGTTTTTGTTGTGGTCGTTGTTAGTAGTGGTGTGGTTATTGTTGTAGTTGCTCTTGGTGGTGGTTTCGTTTTTGTTTTGGTTGTTTTTGACGGTGGTGTGGTTTTTGTTTTGGT